AGGCGGGCTCTACTGAACATCAAACTATCGCTCGTGGCTGCCTTATGAAGTGGTTCACGTTCTTAGAATATTTATGGCGATTCCAAAATCAGTCTTAGCGCTCTGTTGTTTTATTTCAGTAAATGATCAACTAGCGTATATTTGTTCCGTTACTTCAATAGGAGTGGAGTCAGCCGGCGAATCAACCGCTGCATCTATTGCGCCAGGCGAGCACGTTTTTATTTATTATTCCAGACTTCCACTCATTGTCGCTAAAGGTCTACACCAGTACGAACTTCGTATAGTAAAATAGCTACAGCAACCGGATTTACTTTTCGCCGGAGAGACCGGCCAGTATGACACAGTTTTTCCATTTTTTTTTATTCGCAGCAGGTAAAATCGCAATTAGACTCGGTTAGTCTTTTTATCGAGCATAACATTACACGATAACTTTCATATCAAAATCCGCGCATCTGCGCTTGGAATTTCCAAAATGACGTGACTTTAAATCAAGTTTGAACGCCAGCCGGATGTTAGGTACAGCCCACTCGGCGGAGCAGACAGCCCGCGGGGTGAGAGGGAGAGGGCATTTTTTCTCTCTCCGCTCTTCCTAGTGAAGACATCTTTCACAATTCAAACGACCTCCTCGCTCTCCGCGCAGTGTCCCCTAATCTTAGATCTATACTGACAAACGCACACAACCTCGAATCACAAAAGCATACAAGCCCGAAGCACAAAACAACACAATCCCAAACACAAAATGACAAAACAACAACAGAGGATTGCGAGAAATTCCTGCACTTGACAAGGTCAGACTGTGAAACCGGCATCACGTACCAACTTTTTTATTCCCCTATCAAAAGACAAGTAAAGTTGTCTGACAAAGAAAGAAAGAGAAAAATCCGAACCGTGAACCCTTTGACCCCCACCTGTAAAAAAGTAATAAAGAAAACCTACAAACTTAAAAGCTTTTTCGTTCCCTTATCAATCGATAAGGAAGGTTGTCAGATACAGTTCCCGGATCTTTCTCTGGATGTCAAACTTCAGTGCCCTCCCACTCGAGTACACAGTTGCTGCACTCGTCCACGTGTTTTGCAATTTCGTAGTTTCGTGAATTATTTTAACCGCCCTTTTATGCTCCAATATGCCGTCGTTTAAGCAACAACCAGTCTGTCCTACGTAAGAAAAACATCAGCGCAGAGGAATATTCTAAACGACCTCTTCCTGACAAGGCACAGAGAGATCTCTTTTATAATGCCTGCGTAGAGCACATATGCTTATATCTTACCACGCTGACATCTCCTCAACCGGTTACGATGTAATCCTTCAAATTAGTAAATTTGTTTGAAAAAACAAACAATAAAAGTTGACAGGACCACGACTGTAGTCGTGTCTGTCGTCATCTCCCTGCGAAGAATCTAGCCCCATTGTCGTGACAGAACTGGAAGTAGTCCAAGGTATGAATAGGCTGACGTTACTACACTCCGTTGTGCACTATACTTAGGGTTCTATGTTCTTGATATATAGCAATAAACACCGAAAATTAACCCCGAGGCCGTTGTTTTCTGAATCGGTGAAAACCGGAAAAACCCAAATTTGCACTGTCCAATGCCAGCTTCACGGAAAAAAATTTTCCACTTTACTTTTTAGAGCGCAGCTCTTAGGGGCCCGTTTCCGGCTTGAGCGGCGTCGCCGTCGCCGTCGCCGTCGGCGTCGCCGTCGCCGTCGGCGTAACCGCGCGGTGCATTATAGGTAAATTTCCCCGCTAAATCTAGCGGAAAAATTTCCCCGCTAGATTTAGCGGAAAAATTTCTCCGCTAAACCTAGCGTAAAAATTTTCCCCGCTAGATTTAGCGGAAAAATTTCCCCGCTAGATTTAGCGGAAAAATTTCTCCGCTAAACCTAGCGTAATTTTCCCCGCTAGATTTAGCGGAAAAAATTCCCCGCTAAATCTAGCGGAAAAATTTCCCCGCTAAATCTAGCGGAAAAATTTCTCCGCTAAATTTAGCGGAAAAATCTAGCGGGAAAAATTCCCCGCTAAATCTAGCGGAAAAATTTCCCCGCTAAATCTAGCGGAAAAATTTCTCCGCTAAATTTAGCGGAAAAATCTAGCGGGAAAAATTCCCCGCTGTCTAGCGGGAAAATTTCTCCGCTAAATCTAGCGGAAAAACTTCCCCGCTAAATCAAGCGAAAAAACTTTCCCCGCTAGATTTAGCGGAAAAATTTCCCCGCTAATCTAGCGGAAAATTTCCCCGCTAAATCTAGCGGAAAAATTTCCCCGCTAAATCTAGCGGAAAATTTCCCCGCTAAACCTAGCGGAAAAAATTTCCCCGCTAAATCTAGCGGAAAAATTTCCCCGCTAAATCTAGCGAAAAATTTCCCCGCTAAATCTAGCGGAAAAATTTCCCCGCTAAATAGTGGAAAATTTCCCCGCTAAATCTAGCAGAAAAAATTTCCCCGCTAAATCTAGCGGAAAAAATTTCCCCGCTAAATCTAGCGGAAAAAACCCCCGCTAAATCTAGCGAAAAAAATTTCCCTGCTAAATCTAGCGGAAAATGTTCCCCGCTAAATCTAGCGGAACAATTTTGGTCACGTGACCCGGGGGGTCACGTGACCTGGGGAGTCACACCCCGAGGTCACGTGACCTCTGAGGGGGCACGTGTTTGCCCCCATGTGCCCCACCAAGGTCACGTGCCCTCGGGGGGGGGGTCACGTGACCCCCCCCCCCCCGAGAACACGTGGCCCCCAGTACCCTTCCCTCCTCCTCCTCAAGAGCTGCGCTCCAATTCGGCGTTACAGGGAGTGGTAAACGGCTTTCACTTTTTTTTTCTGGTAGTGCTGCTGTTTCAATGTTGAAAGAATTTGCAGTTTGTATTTTTTATATTGTTTGTCTAGGCACACGTGACAAAAAACGCGTCACCTTTCCCCGAAAACCTGCTATTCTGTTGCGCAATCGCAGAGGAAAAAACTAATTATTTGCCGATCTGCAGCGGCGTGTGGCGGTTACGGGAACGCTCGGAAGTCAACGAAACCTGTCCACCCTCCACTGCTACACTCGCCGTCAGCCCCTTGGCGAATCGTCGTTTGTGTCGATCGCTCACCGCGACCTTCGACTATGCTAATTTTTAAAAAGGCGACAATTGCGGACGAAGCGGCTGGGTTCTCTGAAGAAAGGATCCAACGGAAAACCACATGATCCCCCAGAGTACGCCACTCGAAAGACGACCTGAGAGTTGAAAGGCACTGTGACCTTCGCTTTGTTTAATTTTTCTTTTTTATATATTTTTTTTTTTTTTTTAATTTAGTACATTCTGGGGACCTCAGGGCCCAAGAAGGGTGGGCGGAAGAATAAAGCACGCTACACGAACAATAATTAAACATGAAAAAAAAGAAGAAACACAGAAAACTGCTGCATAGAAACACACATATACAAGATATACATATATCAATACCTACTATATCACATCCTATCCATATGGGAGTGATGTGTACAGCACGGAAGCGCTTCCACGCGGGCACACCAGCACCGCGACTGTGTTTCGATAATTCCCGCGGCCGGTTTCCTCACAGCGACGTAGTAAGAGCTGCATGTTTGCGCTTGAACGTATTCTCGTACAGCGTGGTTCGTCATGTACCGCATTAACCTAACTGAAAACAGCGATCGGAGATTAGCGATCGGAAAGAAAGAGCGATAGGAGTACTAATCTCACTGGCTGTTTTCAAGCGATCTGCGGTCACGTGACTTCGCCGTTGCGGCGTTTTGCTCGCTTCCCGTGCCAGCAAAATCATAATTGTTTCGTTATTCGCAGTGTCTGATATGTAGTGACGAGAAGAATAAGGTACTTATTGCATCGCGCGTAAGTGTGGTGCAATCCACGACGACGTGAGAAATGGCGCCGCATAAGCGATATCAGACGACAGATATACAACCCGGAGAAAACGAAAGCGAAACTGCCCGTTGACAGTCTACTGCAAAGTAACGTTGGTCCACTTCTCCCAGCATAGAGATCATACATACCAGAGCCCACTGATCTCTATGACAATTGCTGGATCGCGTTTGCCCGCTCCGCGAATGCGGTCACTGGCGGCCATCTTTAGGTAGAGTTATATCACCTCTAGCCAATGTAAGCTGCTGCAGCCGCTATCATCCATCCATGGCAGATAGCGTTTTGGCAGGTGGGTTGGCAGGCTGCGATCAAAATAGCGTGGGTGATATTGCGTGCTTGATTAAAATTATTTGACGAAACATGTTTTTGAAACCCGGCGTGAACAGCAGTCCGGTTTTTGAGGACCTGGTAAAAGTTTCACGAAATCGCAGCACCGGAAGAAAAGCAGCACAGCACGTATCGAAAGTCGCATCGAAAGAAGCATCGAAAGCAGACGACGGTACGGAGTCTGCTTTTGATGCGAGCTGCGCTGCTTTCCCCCGGTGCTGCGCTTTCGTAGAACTTTTGTCGGGTCCTCAAAGATGAGGCTACCGTTCACGCCGGGTTTCAAGAATCTGCTTCGTCGAACAACTTCAATCAAGCACGAAATGTCACCCACGGTACAGTGTACTAGATCTATGGCTATTTTTATGGCAGCCTGCCGCCATTGCTCTGTCCGCCATATTACATGATGGCTAGAGATGATATAACTCTACCTAAAGATGGCCGCCAGTGACCGCATTCCGCTCCATAGGAGGAGCTGGTCAAACGCGATCCAGCAAATAGACATAGAGATCAGTGCCAGAGCCGCTCTGATACATACTAACTGCTCCTTGAACTGCTCCCAGAGTGCATCTGAATCGCTAGATGTGCAGCAATTTTGCAGAGCCGCTCTGCAATTTTGCATATAAGTCGAATTTGGTACCTTGGACGTTACCTAGCCAATGTGGTTAAATTTATAATTTATGGAGACGTTAGAGACATTTATTAGATTGTAGTAACCTGTTTTTTTAAAACTATTAACTATTGTAATTTGAATAGTTTTATTTACGACAATAGTTTTAGAAATCTAAAAAATATATTATTTCTAGTTACGAAACTATCACAGCGGCCGCTGTCGCCAAACGGCCAGACCAGATCGCCCGGAATGCGAAGTGAAAGAAAAACGCCAAAAAGCGCAACTAATGTTGACGCGGCCTTCCTGGCCTTCGTTTTTATTGTTTCCCCGTAATTAGATCCGCGTACTCCATAAGATGAGCCATGCCCACTCTGCCAGCTGCCACCCTCGCTTCGCCAAAACAGTGCCACGTCTCCCAACGACTGCCGGAAGCCGACGCTGAACTGGCTGAACGCCCAGCAGCGCCCAGCTGGCCTCATTTCGCCCCCAAGCGCGGAACTGACGTCCACTGCTCGGCACCCGCCGCCAGGCTCTGCCCGCCGCCGCCTTCGTCCATTCATTCCTTTCCCCCCGATCCAGCCATCATCATGACGCCCAACCCATTGCCACGCTCCCGATAAACCCAGTATCGGGTCTCCCCTCAGATGGATAGTAGTCATGGCGTCACAGCCATTACTCTACGATAATCAGTTCACGAAACAGGAGTCCACCGCTATCACCATGATGCAAGACTGGATGTCATCGGGTCGCCTGCCGACCACATATCGGATCGGCAACTCGACGCTGCGCTGCCAGCTCAACTTCGTGGTCACGGTGGCTGTGCTGGGGGTAGCCTGCCTGCTCCTGTTGTACGCTCTGCTGCCCTGGGGCAAGTACCACATCATCAGCGACAGCGTCGACGGCCCGGGCCACGAACATGGGCACGCGCACATCCTCCAAGAGTTCCTGCCGTACAACGCGACCTACCCGCTCTCGAAACCCGTCATGTACGGCCGTAAGGTGAGGTACAAGATCGGTGTCATCGCCGATTTAGACACCGACTCCAAGTGCAAGGACGAGAAGGAGACGTGGATCAGCTACCTGAAGGTAGGCTACCTAACGGTGGACAGGACGGCGAGCGAAGTGGACATCGAGTGGGAGGACGGGATGATCACGCTCAAGAGTCAGATCGCTCACGGCGGGAGAGGCATGGAGCTGTCCGAACTGGTGGTGTTCAACGGGAAGCTGTACGCCATGGACGATCGGACAGGTATCATCTACGAGGTGCGCGGTGACAGGGTGATCCCGTGGGTGTTTCTCAACGACGGCGCCGGTGAAGCTGGCAAGGGTGAGAATTTGGACCCTTTGCTGCACACCTCTGTAGTAAGGGAGCTCTTTCACACACCCTCATGAGCTCTCCTGAGTTGGGAGCATGCGTTATCGGCATGTTGCAGGCCTCCTTAGGCAAGGGCGTCTCCGATCCTTTTTACACCCCTTTGATCTCTCGTGAGTTAGAAGTAGTTGCCATCGCTATGGAGTATGGTTTGGGTGTAGGCAAGGTGCGATTGTAGGAGTGCTGCAAACGCATCTTATGCAGACCTAGCTTGTCAGACTGGCACAAAGGGGCACAAACAAGTCGCACATGACGGTCATGATCCTGTGGTTTGCAAGTGGGTGGTACCTTGTTCTCCGTATTTGCCTAAAGGGCTGGTTACTCAGTTCTCCGTTTCGTCTTTATTGGTCAGACAAGTGCAGTGCCTGTAAGACATTACTGTGGGGCGAATAATAATGATATGATTGGGGTTAGAGGGTAAAATAAACTAATAATACTGGTAGTTTTATAGTGATTTATTGGATTGAGCAAAGGTAATATACTCTGTCCGATTGATTTTCTTTTTTTTATGATTCTGTATTTTTAAAAAGACAGCCTTACCACCATTGGTACCACTATGATACCACCAGCTGTGTAATGCCTGCATGCAGAGAATTCATGACCGTTAAATGTTTAATCGAAACTTCTGTGTATTTTTGTTCACTTAAGCATTTATGCTTCGGTGTGGATGCAAAATACTTGATGCCCCAGTTACAGCTCTTAGCAGTCAAGGCCGGTGCAAGATGCAATCTCTGCGGGCAGAAATTTGAGCAGACAAGAAACCTTGAGCAGACGACTAGAAGCCTTGAGCAGACGACTGGAAGCCTTGAGCAGATGACATAAAACCTTGAGTGCTGCGGGAAACCTTCGACACGTAATCTCAAAGAAATTATCCATATAGTTAAGAAAAGCTATCATAATGTTTTTGCTTTCATTATAGACAAAGAAATAGCTTTAGAAATAACAATAAAAGATTGTTTCTCCTTTTCCCAGAAAACAGCTGGGGCAACAGGTATCTTTTTTCTCTTTCTTGGCAGTATATTGCACTGAAAATTATTTGCTTTTCAAATTTCTTTTGCACACAATGTTCATTGTGTGGCTGGCAGTTCACAACAGAGTTTTCTAATAATCAGAGTGACGTGGAAGATTAGCATTGCTTAGCTTCTGTATTTCTAATATTAAAGGGGTGGGGAAACGAAATTCCAGTACTCATTTTTTAGCTTTAATGTGTTGCATGTTGCAGCGTAGCCTCAAAAACACCAGTCTTGCATTGAAAGGCACAAGCAAACTAATTTTGAAGCTAATTAAACTATCTTTCAATGTGCACCTGGTGGGTGCATCCGGAGCCTATTTGGGAGGTAATCTAGCAGCGTTGGGGAACTTGCTACGTCATGACGTAGCAGATTCCATTGGAGCAGCGCCGCTCTTTGGAATTCCAACATTTTCCTTCTTAGCTTTCCTCCTCAACTCGCAAATCGCGCATTGAACTAAACAGTCCAAGAAGACGGAAAGGAGGGACTCCCCTCTTTCTCGGGCCCCCGTTTGTGCACCCGGATACAGCCATTCTCCTCTAGAAGTTTAGCCAGTCGCTCAAAACTCTGGCAAAAGTTGCTTTCCCCACCCCGTTCAGCCCTAAGCTGACAGTACAGTGCGAGCTACGTGCTCCTTGGGCCAGCCTTACGCTCGTCACCCCACGGGTACTTCGAACGGCTCGGCTGTAACGCGTTGATGCTATTGACACCACCACAACGCTGACAATGCCACCAATGGCAAAGCTCATAATCACGCCAGCCTTGCTACTTCACGAACGCGGGAAATCTTTTCTTTCTGTTTTCGTTTGCCTCGGATATCCCATGACGCATCATGCTCTCCGTTCGCTTCTCTTCGAGCGCTTGCTCGAGTGCACCATTTGGAACGAAAAATATAGCCAATTGTTCAAAATACACATGTGCAATTATCATTTACGGTTATTATCCGTCATGCTTGACTCATTTCTGAACGAAATTTGAATATTTCAATTTTCGTTTCCGTACCCCTTTAAAGAGGTCGCAAAACATTTTTTGAATTTTTTCTAGTAAGGTGCAGATTTTTAATTTTGAGGATTTATCTTATGACTACTCCTGAAATATCTTTCTAATAAAAAAAGCACCTTTTTTTGTGTGTGTAGAGCTATATGTCAATTTCAGCAGGCGATAGGAATCTTCACAATTGACAGGAAAATAAAGCGATGGAAACTTTTCGGGACGAGTGGCTGATGTGAGGGTGTCGCGGCATCATTTTTGAGCACTTGAGGGAGTGGTTAAAGAGGCAAGAAAAATTAAAGTTCTCTTCACAGTTCCTCTAATCTGTTTACTGGTTTATGGCATTGTTCAGCTATCTGTGAATGTGTTCATACTTCAGTTTATTTTTGGTTATTTTTTGGAAGTTGCTTGTCACAATCGATGTGCACACAATGCTTTCAGATTATTGCACTACCGATCCTCCCTGGACCATTAAGGACTGAAGTAAAAAATAAAAAGAACACCGCATTTTCCGGACTCTGCATCCGGTGCATAGTCCGCAGGGGCGAATTTGGGGCAAAAAATAAAAGCTTTTGCTTAGCTAGTCCGCACCCGGTGCATGGTCCGCACGCCGTCCCTAATCCAAATGTAAAAATTGTCATATACAGCATACCTTGACAAATGCCTGCTGTATTAGCTCACAAAGAAGCTTGTATCAGACATAAATCAATATTAATATACGGATACTCCGTTATTCATAAAATCCTTCACATCTTGTCACAGTGAACAATATAAAAAAAATCCTTGTATAGTCCACACCACGTAAAATTTCAACTTTTAAACATGTATAGTCTGCGGACTATATTGCGGAAAATATGGTAAGTCAAATGGGCACCGAAATGCAATATCAGCACAGCACGACACTTTTAATGTTAACAAGCTATTGCCGGTTTCATTTTTCTACTAAAATAGGCCCTTTTCAAAAGTATGTGCTCACCAGTAGATCCCCAAGGCCATTCTACTTTAGGCACACAGCACACAGCCGTTTCACTTTAGGCACAAGAGCAAGACACAAGTGCTGTGTCTTGCTCTTGCGCAAAGTATGGCAGCCATCAGTGTTGCTTGATGGCCTTTTGAAAATGGTCTATTGAGCAACGTCCATAAAAGCAACCACCGTAAAATACCGGGCAAGCGCCCACTCCACCTTCACTGAAAACTAGGTTAATCTAGACGTGGGCACTTGTGCGGTCAAATCGGGCGCCTAATGAATAGTTTGCAGAATTCCGAAGTTTTGGGAAACGTTTATATAGTCAGATACAACATAAGAAAGACAGTGCAAGGGGGAAAAGGGTGGAAACTGGGAAAGCTGAAGTGGAGAGGAACTACCTCTTTTCCAGAACGGCTTCTCTCATGCGTGTGCTTTTTTCCCCTCGCACCATCTTTTTTATGTTGTTTCTGATTATAGTGGCTGCCTGAACGAAGTGGGCGCTTCCACAGTATTTTCCGATAGTGTGGCAGAAAGATTTAATTTAAAGTAAGCTTTGAAGTTTAGTTTCTTATTAGCACGCTGTTTGCAGGAATCTCCCTTGAAATCTTTGAGATACGGACATTTGACAAGTTTCAGGGTGTTGAAGAGAGGGTACGAGAGCAGAGGATGGGGTGATTGCTTAAACTTTTGGTGTTCTCGGCGCTCTCTCTACCGCACAACCTTGACTTTGTTTGCAGGCACCATGCAGTTCTGTTGTGCAGTGCCACACAAGTCTGCCAAACACAACAATCTGTTGGCGTCTCAAGCATTTTCAAAATGAGCATCGTCTCGTCTAATCCGGGCAAAATACAGAGGGGGGTTGGACGTGGCAGCGACGGGCGGTCAGCCAGACCAATGGGTGGCAAAACCACTGCCGTCCACTGTGGGGAGGAACCTTGCCCGTTTCGAGCAAAACACAAAAGCGCGCCGACGTTGTGTTTGCGCCAACGGTGTCCTGCAGTGTGCACTGCCTCTGTAGGTGGCCCCCTCCGAGTCAGCCGGTGAGGTATTTGTTTCAGTATGGTAGTTTGTGACATCTGTCGCCGTTGCGTCTGCCAGGTTTCAAGAGCGAGTGGGCAACGGTGCGGGACGAGACACTCTACGTGGGCGGCCTGGGCAAGGAGTGGACAGACAATAAGGGGCGCGTCATCAACCACGACCCACAGTGGATCAAGATAGTGACCCCCGGGGGACGGGTGGAGCACCGTGACTGGCAGGACAACTACCGCAAGCTCTGCAGCTGGGCCAACTACGGACCACCCGGTAGGCCTCACATGTTTCTAAGCCTATGCGGAGGGCAAGTTCGTCTGCTTCTCGCGCAGGGGGTAGCGGTGACGTCAGAACGCCGAGCCCTGATTGGCTGATCGCGACCCCCTATCTGAGCGTCGTCTGCTCCTTTGCAACGTCGTCTGCTCGCAACGTCGTCTCCGTCTGTCTTACCTTTCCTGCGACTTTCGGAAATGCAGAGGCCAGATTCACGAAACGATCTTACGCCAGAAATGTGCGTAAGACGAAACTTAAGAACAAATTCGTATTCACGAAACGAAATTTCCGTAAGTTTCCCGCAGGTTACGACAAAATCCTACGACAGCTCCGAAGCTGTCTTACGCACTTCTTACGATCAAATCAGCATGGCCGACAACGCCGCGGTCGCGACGACCCACGGACGTTTATTTTTTTACGTGCGGTTCTGACGCGTCCCGACTTCAAGCAGCAAGAAAAAAGTAAAAAGCACTTGAAACAGACCACGACGAACAAGAACGCTGGATCCACAAACACCCGGGAAAAGCTCCCACGGCCACGATCCCACCGAACGCGACCAAACGAGCTGGGCAGTTAGGCCTAGCAGGCTCTCCGCGACTCGGCGACCGTCTGCCCACGACCGGCTGGCGTGCTGAGTGGAATATGCCCGCGCGGCCCTTGTGAACCCTTCCCGTTTAATATTTTGATTGCTGACCTCAGTTTTAGATTAAAATGTCAATTTCTTCCTCTTGTTATCTCCTTGTTTCCCGAGGCAGCGGTGACTCTCGCCGATGAAAAAGCGGTGAACCTCCGACAGACGCAGCAAAGGTAAAGCAGCCATCGCTTTGACCGCTTTGACTAGCAGACGAAAAAGCAGACGACGTTAACTGCGCCAACCCGCCGACGCCGTTAAAGAGTAAGGGGTCTCGCCGCACACGAATGGAGGGAAAAAGTATTTGGGAGGGAACTTGCCTCGGTTCTAAGCAAAAAAACCTCGGCGCCCCGGGACACCTCGCCAGGGAGTTCTTTGACTTCCCTCCTTGATGCGCGTCTGCTAGTTGTTAGACAAAAACAACGTACCGCTCGAGTTATTTCGTCTACCCTCTCTTAAAGGCGAGGTCGAGTTCGCTCCGAAAGTCGCAGGAAAGGTAAGACAGACGCAGACGACGTTGCGAGCAGACGACGTTGCAAAGGAGCAGACGACGCTGAAAGAGGGGGGTCGCGATCAGCCAATCAGAGTTCGGCGTTCTGACGTCACCGCTACTTCCTTTCTTATGCGCAGAAGACGAAAATGAGCCCACTTGCGAGGCGTATTCTGAAGATGAACTTACCTTAACTTTGAGTGCTTTAATGAACTTTGAACTTTACTTTGAGCACTTTGATGAACTTTGATAAACCTAACTTTGAGCGCCGAGCTTTTCTTCCCCACATGCCTAATGAAAGTTTCGGTCGCAGTAACACCGTAGCATACTCTGCGAAGAATATTTATTTATGAAAGACACTGTTTGACGGGCAAAAAGTTAACAGATGTCTGCATGCCTCCAACCTGCGACACATTTCTCGTATCGTATGTTTCAAGACCCGATACTAAGCAGCGGCACCTCGACCTCGCACCCCGAGGTCACTCTTTCGAGCGGCCTGACTCTGCATTTGCCTGTAACTGTAACTTCCCTGTTTTCACGGTAGTCAAATACTGACTTCATCAGTCATTTCTAGATCTTGGCGTTCGCTATGAAGTGCGAGGTTGAACGACATAGATTCGCGGTTCTGCAACCATGAAGGAGTATACCAAAGCAAAAATCGCCCCCCCCCCCCCAAAAAAAAAAAGAAGATTATGTGCCATCAAAAAACGGGCACCACAAGATAACACATTGTTTTCATTGTTTGCTCATACATGCCAATACACGTAAAAAGGAATGGCAGCCCAGTTGGGAGGGGTAGGAGCGAACCGAAACCGCTTGAGTACATACTCAGGTGCGGCACTCAAAGGGTTAAGAGCCGAGATCCCAGAGGAAAGTGTGACAGAGCACCATGGAAACAGTTACGAAACCTGCTTCCGCGGAAAATTAGTTCGAAGGAGTGGCATGTTGAGAGGGAAGCACGAAATTCTAAACGTGCCCCTATCGAACTTGCGACCCCGTGATTGTGAGCTCGACATTCTATCGCCACGCCTTCTACCGCAGCACCGAGCGAGGGGGATTAAAAACTGACATACGCCAAGGGCGGGAAGTGCGTACATCGTAACTTGCGTAACCTCCTTTTGCCGCCATAAGGAAGGGATTGTAATCAGTGCAGGTAGAAACCGAGAGAGCGGAGATGAGAGCGCACGGGGACATCCAAGCACCGAGTTCCGGTTGCACTGATCGGTGGGCAGATGCAAAGCTAGCTGCCTTTCTCTTTGCCAACTGTATGAAGACCGGCATTAGGCATTTGCGTTCAAAACGGCGAGGCAACTAAAAGTCCTCCGTGCTGCCCTAATCCCACTGGGGCCAAAGCTTTTGTTGTTTGTGAGGATACGTTTAAACAAAGTATGACTGAACAGGCACATCTGGAAAATCTGCCAATGTTCCACATGTATTGCAATAAAATAGGCTGTTGGGCTAGTTGGTTGTCCATCATGAATAAAATAGTGCAAAACAACAAAACAAACAACAAAATAACAAGAAACCTTGTCCTTCCTTCCTTGTTGTTTTGCGCTATTTTATTCATGATTGACATGTATTCTTTCCCTGTATTGCCCACCTTTATGTAATGCCGTTGTTGAGGCCCTAATAAGTAAATTATGGAATAAATGAAATGTTTATCCAGTTTCTCGCCACTAACTTTCTTTTCAAGGACTCATTAGAGGCCAACATTTAAAATTGTTAGCAGTCCATTTTAAGGCACACTGGAAAGCTTTTTCTTTTTTCACTTAATTGCACATCAAACTAATTGATCTATTACTTGTGTGCAACGGATGCTTGATTCTGACCTCCCCTGCAGCCTGAGCAACATTTGATGACCTGTTCAGGCTTTTCGTCAGCAGTAGCTGCTGTTTTCCTTTCGGCCCAGTGGTTTTGCACTGCAGCTGGCATCAATGTGTGCTCCCTTAGCGAACGTGCATGCTGCTCCAAACAGTAGAAGCCTATTAGCCTTTTTTTTTTGGAATAGCCACTTTGTGCATCGTGTGCACATCGAGCTGCAACGTGGTTTCGTCAGCATCAAGAGCAGGTGTTTTCGACATTGTCGCCTACGTCTCTTTTCGGATTAATAGTTTGGTTGTTTGGTGTACCTTCGTCAACGAACGCATATGTGTCGCTCCGACATGTAGAAACGTTTTACATTGTTCAACTCAGCCGTTGTGTGCATCGCAAGGACTGCGGCGAGGTTCATTGACGTCAGGGGCAGGTGTTTTGTTCCCCGCCGCTGACGTCTCTTTTCAGAATAATGGTTTTATTGTCGAGGCACATTCTTTCTAGCTTTGCAAAACAGGCGCAAGACTGTGAGAAAGCCATTGCCTCTAACCTCGGAGAAATCAAACCTCAGGTCATCTCTAAAGGACAACTCCACTCAATCCCTGAAGTGTCGGGATAACCGTCTACTTCATGTCGAGAATTGTGAACGATGATGGCTCTACGTCATTTGTTTTACGGAAAGTAATATATGTTTCGCGAGGTCTCTCTTTAGACACGATCACGAACTGAATCCTCGGCTGCGGCTGGTGGCATTGGCCCCGCGTTGTCGAAAATAAGGTGCACCCACGCGGTGAAAACTGTCGTGCGATCTACCACGGAAACGGGCGCAGCGCAAGTTTCGCCTGCGCTGCAGCGAGTTCTGCATCCAACCGTGCCAACATTACTGTGGCGTTTGAACGTGTCATTCTGAAACACACCCAAAGTTTGTAAAGAAAACAATTACGACAGAGGGGCGTACGTGATGTCGGGATACACGTGCAGCAGACTCCCGGTTTTGGCGTGTTCACAACAATGTTCAGCGCACAGGGACATAAGTGTCCCGTGAAGCTTCATGAATTGTTGCGCCGCCGGCACCACCTGTGCACTTTCCCGGTAGGAAGGAAGCGAACCAGAAGTCACGCCGCCCATACTCCACGTCATCTGTAGAAGATTTCCTAGTGTCTATTTTTAGCATTGGACGAAGCACATGTGTTTATCGGGGCCTACGTCAAAGGAAACGGAACATAAACGCGGGATTCCCGAAGCTCTAGGGAACGTATGCGTGATTTGAATACCATATTTTCGGAACTACCGTAAAATACCGTGCAAGCGCCCCCCCAAAATTTGGAGATAATTCGCCTAGATATAGAGGAGGCCCTTACTCGGATTGGGCCCAGAATTCAAGATGGCAGCCACAAAATGGCGGCCAGTGAAAGTGAAAAAAAGAAAGCATTATAGCCTGCATTATTGAAAACATTTATTTACGGACCCTCCAATCAATATTTAATTCGGAAAACGGAAATACTGGTATTCACCTCAGTTGCTATCAATGCCACAAAATGATTCCTCGGAATCTGATCTAAAAATGAGGTCTAGGCCCTTGGTCCGCAGCTCGTCGGGGTTCTGGGGGCAACGGCGCCGATGTCAGACAGCCGTTCAGGAAGATCGCCCTCCTCGCCGCACGTCCAGGGTTCCTTTCGCGCTCTGAGAACTCGTACAAGGTGTCGTGAACTTCGCTAAAGATAAGGGCACCGTTGCTCAATTTGCGTCGTACCTTTGGCTTCCCAAAGTTGTGTTGCAGCAAAACTTCGTACTACGTGTCCCTCTTGCATACCCTCTCGCATACCTTCGTACTTCATGTCCCCTCTCGCATACCCGAGAGGTCAGGGAGACGTTTTTGCCCTTCTTCTGAGGTCAATCCACAACTTCGAGTTTCTTTTGCACTGTATACGGATGCTTGGCGAACAAAGACAACCACTCCTAAAGCAGGCACTAAGGAAAGGGCGGCGATGGCTGGTGGTACGTTCTCGTAGCAACCTCTTGGATTGGATTGGATTAAATATTGGCTTTGTACACTGCGACAGCCGA